GATAAAAAAACCTCAAAGAAAATACTGAAGAAAAGATTGAGCCTGCAGAAGAGAAGACACGGTGGAGGACAGGTGATATGACAGCATCTTGAGAGCTATTTGGAAGAATTTTTCAACGTTGTTCAAGCGGCTTAAATGACATGGATTTTGGACAGCACCAGGAAAAAAAATCCCCAGCAAGAAGAGCTCCCCAGCAGAGGAGACTCTGCTTTGCTGAGGGTGTTTAACGGAGGCTGGATGGGCACCTGCTGCTGGGGGGGGGATTTGAAAGGGGGGCAGAGCTCTGGGTTTACCCACCCCAGGCCCTCTTTATGCTCTACAGTCCTATGACTCTTCAGTCTCGCCCCTTTCAACACGCATTGCCTGCCCACTTCTGCAGCCTGAACATGGGGCTTTTGAAAGAAGAAGCAGACCTTTGCATCCAGTTCAAAGTTCTGGGCCTCCAAACGAAGCCCACTCCCAGAGGCAGGTTTAAGGAAATGTACAGCAGCTGCACTCCGAAGCTTTCCTTGCCTCGGTCGACTGTTGTCTCACATTTGTCATTGTCTAGACTGTAATCTCCTTGGAAGAGGAACTTTCTTGCAATGATTTACAAAGTGACGCATTTAGGAATGTTGCTCTCCTAATAAATTAGCCACAGCCAGAGACAACTGCAATCTACCTCCTAACCGCCTCCAGCAAATTGCATCTAGTAAGCCACAGACACACACAATGCCCTTGGAGCCTCTCTGGGGCCATCGCAGCGGTGCTGTTAGGGGTGGGGGCTGACCTGAAATGCTCACCAAAGGTGATCCTGTCTGTATTGCCTGGGCAGCCAGGCAGCCAGGGATGAAGAGCAATGATGACAGCATTTTTACAGCCTCACTGAAGCAGCTGTAAGGACTGATGCTAGTCTCCATTGCCATTTGATAGGAAGGGTCTACTGGCATGAAAAGCTGAGCACTACAAACCTGGGCAGCTCCCTCAGCGTCATCAGAAATGCCGCTCGCACCAGAAGCTGATCTTTTGCAAGGAGACCAGCGGGGCTTAGAGAGGGGCTCGGTCTCGCTCTCCTGAGCTGCTGCATTTCAGACAGAGGAACCCCCAACAGCTTCAATAATGCTCTCATTGTAGGCAGAACGCACCATTCCATCTTGAGAGCAGTTATGCCTGGCTTCGGGCTCACAACGGCCCCGTGGGACATTGCTGGCTGCTGGTGATGGAAGAGGAGGACAAGCAGGCTGAGTTTAAGGGGTGTTGGGGGGGTTCCACTTCTCTCAGTGCTCCAGCCGCTTCTTCTTTACCTTGGCTCCCACTGGGCAACTCAGCCAGCTGGCTGCATCTTGGCTCTGGGCCCCGTTCCCACAGAGGACTCCGCCTGGCTAAGATTTTAGCAATTACTCCACCAGCCAGGCGCACTAACCGGTCATTAGTCTAATGCGACACCTCAGCTTGAGCGCAGAGTCAGTGACACTGAAAACCGAGCACGCTGTGCCAAAAGCAGCAGAAGCCCAAATGCCAAACCTGGCCAGGCCTTTCCTTACGTGCCCCGTTCCCCAGACTCCTGCAGCCAAGAGGGGGGCATCAGATGGGAGAAAGTTGCCAGATCTTTCCCTGGAGCCCCACACCCTCCCCCTTCCTGTATCACAAATACGGGAGGCTCGGGAAAACAGGCAGCTTCTCACCTTGAAACCACACAGCCTGTACAGAAGCTGCAACTTTGCCCCCCGAAACCCTGCAGTCTGATTGACAAAGGGCTCCTTTGCAGCACCTCCCAGGAATGGCTTGCAGATTCCGCAGCATCTCTCTCCCACGCAGAAGCTCTCTGACTTGCTTCGGTTCCCTCCAATCCAGCCTCCTCCGGCACTTTCTTGTAATCCATACCTGGGAGCTGCTGTCCATGTGCCTCACCCCAATGCAAAATGAAAACAGGGACTCTAGTCTTGGTGCTTTCCCAGCTGCTCTCCCCCCCCCCATTTCTTTCCCCTGAAGATTCGGTATAACCAGACACCAGCAATGCGTTGCATTCAACCCTCAACCGCATCTTACAACCAACGTTCATCCCTCTCTGGCTTCAGCACCTGCCCTAATTTTCAAAGGTGTTTTCAAATTTCTTGTCTGATGGAAAATCCTGGGGGATTTCTTATGCAGAGGCTTCTTCTGTCATTTTGATTGATTCTATAAAAATCTTGCCCAGCCATGGATTTTAAAGTACAATTTATTCATTACCAATGCCAAACTATTATTTTCTGGTCACCATGGCTGCCTTTTTCAATTGGGTGTGTCATCCCCCCACCCCCGCCCCCACCCCCACACTAGATATGTTAGAATATAGCCACGTTATCGCCAGGCAAGCCCAGAAACGATGGCCTTTGTAGTCCAATCCATTGGAAGGGCTACAGGGATGAAGAGAAACTGCCCTTGGAAAATGTTATTTTCCAACTCCTGGATTAAGTTGTTAAGTTTTTTTATTAAGAAAGGAATAAAAAAAGATGAATTTGAGCAGAGCCCACCCTTCTCCTATAAGGCAGTTGAAAGCAAAGTCAGGGACTCTCTCTGGCTTTGGTGGATCATTTGAGGATTCTGGGAGCAGCCAGAACAGTCTTGCCTGGATCACCTCTTGGTCTCCAGAGACTTTTGCTTCCTCTTCAGGACCCTTCCCGGGGGAGAACGGCCTTCTGGATCATCTGCTACTCTTTCCTTTTAATTTTAACTTAACTTACATTTCTTTTTAACAATTTAATTTCCTTTTCATCACAAATCACGATGAAGCATGCCCGGGACAACTGTGCAACATAACCAAGCACACAACTAATTGCTACAGGATTATGACTTGCGCCCCATTCCTGCAGCGTACGATCTTTCGCTCGGATGTCAGTGGTTACCACTGCATTGCCCTGAAAGAGGCTGGAATATAAAAGAGAAACTTCAGAATGAGGGCTTGGCATTTAGTTTGCAAGCTGGTCTATGGCACATTTCTCAATTTCAGCATGGGCAGACTTCGACATGCCAGCTGGGGGATTCTGGGAGTTGAAGTCCACATATCTCAAAGCTGATGTGATTGAGAAACACCGGGCTGTTGCACAGCTTTCCTTCTTGAAATCCTGCAAAGCACAGCTGTAGCTTTCAATACACCAGTGGATCGCAGGAGGACATTTCTCTCCCACCACTTGCCTGCCTCCCTGTTTTTAGCCCTTTCCACTTCATTTTTATAAGCACTTCCCTGGGTGCCCAGAAACCTGCCCTTCCATCCTTTTAGTTAAAAAGGGGCATGATATGCCAACTGCAAAGTGCCAGATTTTGTATTTGAGCTTGTACAGCCAATCTAAAGAACTTCTGACTTTAAATGGCCTATTACATTTTGTTTCTGCTGCTTTTTAAGTATGTCCCCTTTATGCAATGGTTGTGATCATAAAAAGCAGATTTATTACGCAGAGGCCATGATTCCCGAGATTTAGCCCGGCATCTCACTTTTGCCAGCTCTCTGGAAAAGGTATCAAGCAAAATCTAGCCTTCCCTCAAAGAGTGTTTTGCCCACTAGGACTGGTGAGGTCTTTGAGGTTCATTCCCACCATGGTTGGTGCACATTTAAAGTCATGAGGGAGGAAATGGTCGCAGTTTTCTTCTTAGGACCAGTTTTTCCTACCTCTTGGGCTCTATCCCAGTTTTAGCATGTGCCTGCCAACTGCAAAGCACCATAGCTGAGGATGACCCGTTCAGGAGAGTCACTTTTACTCTTGCCCTCTATGCGGGAAATTTTAGCCAGCCCCTCTTCCTCAATCTCCTCTCCAGACTGGGAGGGCATCCCTGTCTCTGCCTTCCCTCTTGCCTAGGCGTCCTCCAGCTGTCTTCCTCCTGCCTTTCAGGAGGCCTCAGAATTGGGTCAAAAGGATGTTTGATGAAGCTCGCACACCATCAATCTCCTCCTGATTCTTCCCTCCTCCAAATTTTTGTGACTAATTGCATGCACAGAATCAGACCCAGGGCACAATTCAGGAAATAAAACTAGGATGGCAGATATCTCCCTTGCCCTCTGCCAAGTGGACGCTGAACCTTCGGGGGACGCAGGAGAATGAAAAAGAAAAGCGATGTTGAAAGACATTCCCCACTTCTGCCACTGCGAAGCAGAGCAACGGGTGGCAGCCTGGCACACTTGTTGGGATGGAGAAGGCCTTGTGGGAATGGAGGTGCACTGATCAAGCAGCATCCCAGCAGCTGGTCAGGGATGGCAAGATTGCACCCCTACTACTGTTGGCTGCATTTATACAATGTGATTAAGAGGGTGACTGAATTAACCCACATTCTGGAAGCCCAGACTCTAGCACAACAAATGAAGTGGGTTCGCAGGACAAACCTGCATAAAATTAGCCAAGCCATAACCACATTTATCATGCTGTGCAAATGGTACTGTTAGGTTTGTAACTGAGTAATTGATCTGAGTACTTGTGTAAATACGCTATGTGTGTGTGTGTGTGTGTGTGTGTGTGTGTGTGTGTGTGTGTGTAGTCTCCACTTTCACAGGTAGCAGACCACACTGTCCCCTGGAGACACAAGAAAGTAACACCAAGACCAGCCCTGCAGGTACACAAAGCCTAACCTGGCCAATTCCAGACAAATGTGCACCTGTGGTAGGTCAAGCCTTTGTTGCAACAGGCGCACAAGCCTCTAAACAGAAGGCAAAGAAGGAGGCAGGGAGTTCCAAGGCAGTGCCCACACTCTGTCAACGGGAACACCTAACATCCTATCTAGGTGTTCTTGTCCCTGCCAGGTGGCCACCTTTCCCTCCCCATTTTGACTAGACATAGAACTTGAGGACTGGTGGGCTTTGCCATTTCCATCCCCATTCCGTGTTTTCTGCAGTTGCAACGGCCCGAATTTCAGTCACCCCCAAACACTCCCCCAACCTGTCTAAAGGCTGCCCCTGACAACTCAGAGAAGTTTTATGCCATCAGCCCTGAAGCAGCGCATTTCCAGAACAGAGTTTTCGACCCCAGGGAGAAAGGCGAAGGGCGAGCGCCTACCTGGCCGAAGACGGCGCTCAGGACAGGGCGCAGCTGATGGACCAGCGGGTCGCCGTCAACGCCGGGCTTGGCCGCGGGGCTCTTGCCGTTGGCCGGCAGCAGCGCTTCCGGGGTGGCCCGTGGACTGCCCGCGGAGGTTCCCCAGTCTGAGCGCCGCGCGGTCCAGTCCTGCTCCCCGTCCGGGCTGGGGGCCGCTGGCGAGGGTTCCTGGGGGCGTGGGCGCCCCCGCCGCGGCGCTGCCTCCTGCTGCTGCTGCTGCTGCGGGCGCCGCCGGAGGCTGCCGTTGGCCGGGGCGTCGGGCTGGCAGAGGGGCCTCCTGGCGCTGGGCTCGGCGGCGAGCGGTGGGCAGGGGCTGCTTTCTGCTTCTGCCGCGGCCGCCGGGCGCCCGTTCCGCCTCTGGCTCCGCGGCGGGGGCGGCGGCTGGCCGGGTGCCCGCCTGCCGCTCCCGCCGCGCGCCGCTCGCCGCAGGGGCGCCTTGGAGTCGCTCTGGTGCGGTGCGGAGCTCATGGTCGGCACGGCCGCGGAGCGGAGCGGCTCTTAAGGCGGGAAGGCGGAGGGCGGGGCGCTGTGGCCGGCGCCGAAGCGATCTCCCCCCCGCGCGGGAAACGGCTCCGGAGGCGCCGCGCTTCAGCACCGCGGCTGCGGACAGCGCCAACGGGGCAGGCGGGCGCGCCGGGCAGCTGCGCGCCGAGGCAGCTCCGAGTCGCGTCGTTTGGGCTGCCTCGACGCGCAGCTGCCGCCTGGCCCGCTGGCGCTGTCCGCAGCCGCGGTGCTGAAGTGCGGCGCCTCCGGAGCGCGGGGTAGCCACGGGCGGCCACGCGACCGGCCCGAGGCTGGCGGGGGCGATGAATGAACCCGCAGAGGAGGAAGATTAGGGGCCCGCCTTTCAAGCAAGGAGTGGAATGAAGTCCTCTCTTTCTTTTGGAAGATTCATGCTACACACACACACACACACAGTGGCTCTAGTCTGCCTGCCCTGCCTGCCCGACCACCCAGTTTGTCTTGGTGTACCTCTTCTCTAGGTGAGTTGGCTGGCTGCAAGGTCCGTCATCTTCAGCTCATGGGGGGTGGGGAGTAAAGCAGGAACAAACTATCTTTTCAGGTCGTACTGGCACCAGCCAGGCTTTGAGGCAACATCAAGAACATCAAATTCAGCAATAGTAACATAAGGATAAAATCTTGTTCCAACCAAATTCATAATCTCAAGTATTCTTGGCAACAATGCAGGAGTGATTGGTCATTGCCCTTTTCCAGGATCTATTGTTTACTTCCCAGCCTTTCCTACAGTTGTGGGATTTCCTGAGGCCTCTCATCCAACTACTCACCAACTACTAACCAGGACTAATCCTATTTTATTTCTCAAGTTCAACTTGGTTAGCAAAGTGGCTAGTCATGATCTCCCCCCCCCCCCCCCCCACACACACTCCCCATCTACTATTAACACTGGCCAAAGTTTGGGGTCATCTGCTGTTGGATTTTGCAAGGTTTGAGATGTTTTAAGAAATAATCTGGTTGAAATCTGATGACTCCTTCAGAGGCATTTAATGATAGTGTAGTACTTTTATTGGCCAGCACGTTGCTGTCCCAGCCAGACCTATTGAATTCCATATGAGTTGTACAAGACAATGTTGTCAAAAGACGGTTGACCCGATTTGCTGGTGCTGCAGTTCATCTTTGTGAGCTGATTGGCTCAGAGTCTCTGTTGACTCTAATAACTGGTGAGTGGCCATTTTCACAAATAAGCTTCAGTTTTCTCTCCTTTCGCCAGAGATAGAGGGAAGTTAGCATTACCTGCGGTTGGTTTGGGAGAAACCCACATGCCTTTTGGCCCTCTTTCAAGTGGTGGCAAGGGAAAGGAACCAAAAAATAGGGGTCCCTGTAGGACTTTGTTTCAGAAATGAAAAGGAATTGTTAGTCCTCCCTGAAGTTCTTTGGATGGAATAGCTACTCGGGAGAAATTATTTTACCTCCAAACAGCTTAGAAGCTAAAATAGGGGCTAAAACCAAGTCTTCCTGGGTTGCCTATTTGCATGCCTGTTATCTCCTTCATGACCCAGTTAAATTGGCAGGTAGACCGAGTTCTGCCTAGATTCGCTAGGGACCTCATGATCTACCAGTGAAGTGTTGGGTGCCAAGTTGAGTGCCCATTTTATTCTGAGCAAAGGATGGTTGGACCATCTGGCAGAGTTCTAACCATTTGTCTCCATTTTGGACAGGCCCATGCTGAAGCCACCCAGACCAGGGGTGAAATGTAAAATTTGTTACTACCGGTTCTGTGGGCGTGGCTTGGTGGTGGTGGGGTAATGTGACTGGGTAGGCGTGGCCAACTTTTTTAAAAAAAACTTTTCAAAGCATTTTTTCTAATGCTTTGAAAAGCCTCTGCCGATCAGGCAAGTCAGCTGGGATAGTCAGAGAGGCTTTTTAAAAAATACCTCTCTGACGATCCCAGTTGAGTTGCCTGATGGCAGAGAGGTAAAAAATACCTCACTGCCGATCAGGCAACTCAGCTGGGATCGTCAGAGACTTTTCAAAGCATTTTTTAAACCACCTCTTCAGCCAAGAGGTTGCAGAAAAAAATGCTTTGAAAAGCTTCTGATGATCCCAGCTGAGCCGCGCAATCATCAGAGGCTTTTTTTTTTTACTTTTAAAAGCATTTTTTCGTCGGAAGAGGTTGTAGAAAAAATGCTTTTAAAAGTAAAAAAAAAGCGCCTCTGATGATTGTGTGGCTCAGCTGGCATGGGGGGGGGGCGCAGGGATTTTTGCTACTGGTTCTCCGAACCACCTGCCGCCATCACTACCGGATCAGGTGATCTGGTCCGAACCGGGAACATTTCACCCCTGACCCAGACACAAAGGCTACCTGCACTGATCTCACCGTCTCAGATTCTGGAGTGAAATCTATCTTGGGTTAATTATCCCTTAGAACTTGGCCAGGGCACCAAATTCTCTCTTGCAAAGGTAAGTAAAGGAGTCCTGGGCCAGAGAGACATGGAATACCAGCAGCCAAAGGTTACACCTCTTCCCTCCTCCGCTTTCTCAGGTGCCCACTTGACACCCAGGGAGGTCACAGCGGGCTATTTTTATGCCCAGTAACCATCTGCAGGTAACCAGAGGCCATCTTACAGTTGGACTGAAAAACAAAAATGCATGAACACCAGATTGTCTGATAACAAGTAACCCAACAGACACTCTTTCTAAAGTCTTAAAGCTTTGCATTTTTAAAAAATGACATTAAATATAACACTTCCTTAGTCACCAAACGTTTGGAGTTATATTTTTCTTAGTTGTTTCAAGGCCTCCTACAGCACAGGCATAACATTTCCTTAATATATTTTTTTCCAAAACACCATTTGACTCTTGCAGATGTGTGAATAGTGTCTGTTGTTTCAGTCAACTGAACTCTGCAGAGCTAATTTACGAATGGAACAAAGCTGGTTAATGCAGGAAACCCTAATTCTGAAGGAGCAGTTGATTTGATGAAGGAAGTCAATTGGTCATGATTAGGTATGAAAGGGTTATTTGTATGGTCTGATTAAAATGGCTTGCCCAAGGTGAATGCAATAGTTTTACAGGTGAATTTGAAAACAAAAGACTTGGAACGTAGAATCATAGGGTTGGCAGGGACCTTGGAGGTCTTCTAGTCCAACCCCCTGCTCAAGCAAGAGATCCTACACCATTTCACACAAATGGTTGTCCAATCTCTTCTTAAATGTCTCCAGGGATGGAGCAGCCACAACATCTGGAAAGAAGCCATTCTATTGATTAATTGTTATCATTAATAGGAAATTTCTCCATAGTCTAGTTCGTTCTCATCCTCTCTCTCTCTCTCTCTCCCTCTCTCTCTCACACAAACACACAATGCATGCCTAAACAGGCTAGGTTTGGAGTTCCAGATTAACTGAGGAAGGCTGCTCACGTCTTGTGATGTGATAGTTCTGCTGCCTTTCCTTATTTTCCCAAAACTACTTAAATCAAAATTTGGAGGTGCCTTTTTTGAGTCAATGGATCCTGAATTCTGCAATAATTTGATTGGCTACCTCCATGCTGTATATCTGTCTCAGGCCCTAAAGGATAGATGTTGAAAGTGTTTGCATAGTGGTGGGAGCAGCTATGGAAAAATGGGGGAAACGCCCATTTTGCACAACCTGTCTAATCAGTGTTTCTCAACCTTGGTAACTTTAAGATGTGTGGACTTCACTCCCAGAATTTCCCAGCTAGCATTCCATTCACATAGTGACAGACAACTGTCCCCAACACATAAGCATTGCACTTAGACTGCCATAATTGAAAGTCTTCTAACCATATACAAAGTGCATTTTCTTCCACTGAAAGGAAACACTGTTATTTTAAAACCACCCAAAGAACAAAGTACTCTTGGAAGTGTGCAGAATATGGTTCTGGTCCAGGAAAGAGAAAAATAGAAATATCTCTTGGAAAGGGAGAGGGGAGGGAGGGAGGGAAGAAGGAAGGAAGGAAGGAAGGAAGGAAGGAAGGAAGGAAGGAAGGAAGGAAGGAAAGAAGGAAGGAAGGAAGGAAGGAAGGAAAGATAAGGAGGGAGGGAGGAGGGGGGAGGAAGAAGAGAAATGGAGGGAGGGAGGGAGGAAGAAAGAAGGGACAAAAAAGGAGAGAGGGAGGAAAGAAGAAAGAAAGGACAGAAAAGGAGGGAGGGAGGAAGAAAGAAGACAGAAAAAGAGGGAGGGAGGGAAGAAGGAAGGAAGGAAGGAGTATTGTTGGACTGGGAGCTAGGAAGTTCAAGCAACTGCTGACTTTGAGAAACATTCTTTCAGTCCATATTTGCTTGGAAACTTCCAAATATTCCTCCTGCTGTGCCCAGCTCTGCAGATGGGCACCAAAGCCCCTTAGAGCTGCCCTGTGTACAAACAAGTCCCAAGAAAGCTCTGCTGTGATTCAACCGTTAGCTACGTAAACAGCCTCCTGAGAGAGGGTGGATTATTTGCCATCTGGCAGTACTGAATTGTCAAGACACTTAATATTTTACATAATATGCTTATTCACTGCTTCTGAAACAAGCCTACCCTTGGCCCCCACCTGCTTTTCAAGGCAAGGAAAGGCCTCTTAATACAGTGGTGCAGCAGGGCACTCGAAGCAACCACACTGTGGCATCCAGTTCTGAACACTGAACATCTGAGCACTTGGGCCAATTGGAGGTGCCCAAGAGCTCTCAAGACGATAAATAGCCAGGAAGAAAAAAATTGGGAGGAAGAGTTGAAAGTATTAATATTTTTTAGTCTGGAGATAAGAGATGTTGTGAAGAGAGACAGGATAGCTCTCCTTCAAGTATCTGAAGGGCTGTCCTGTACGAGATGACAGAATGGTTTAAGTTACAAGGAGGTAGGCTTTGGATGGACAGTAGGAATAAATTCTTAATGGAAATAGTTTTTTAACAGTGGAAAGCTTTGGTTTTGGGAGATGATGGACTCTCAAGGGAGGTGTTTACAAAGGCTAGATTCAGATTCAGATTAACAGAGTTGGAAGGTACCTTGTGAGGTCATCTAGTCCAACCCCACCGCCGAAGCAGGAGACCCTACACCA